AAGAGACAGATATTTCCCTCAGGGGTTAATAGAGGCCAAACCAGAGTGTAAAGGAGAGTGGGTATTCAACATAGATGTTGAATACCTTAAGTATGTCATGCTTAAAGTCATGCTTAAGTAACTTAAGCATGCTTAAGTGACTTAAGCATGACTGCGAATGGATAATAATGTTGTTCTGTAACTGCTCAATGTGTAAATAGGCTGGTAAACTGTAGCACTTTCATCAACATAAGTGTTAACAACTTGTTGCACTGCCCCCAAGTGGCCAGAAATAGGTGAGAAATTGTCCAGATTTTTGGTCGGGTGCATAAAAATAAAATAAAATCTTTTGTTATTCTCTAAAATGAAAATGGCAAATTTATAAAGTCATACATTTTCGAGAAAAATAGTGGAGTGCAAAACTGTTGAACTTAATTTTTTTTTACCTACAATACCACTTATATGATTTATATTTTTATATATTAACTAAATAGTTAACAACCTGCAAACATTAACATGTAAATCATGTTTCTAGTTGTTTGAGGGATGTACTTAATTTTTTGATCACATCTAGTTTTTCCTTCATAATGATGCTGAATGCACTTATTGTAAGTCACTCTGCACAAAAGCATCTGCCAAAAGAGTGTAATTTCATTTATTCAAGCCTATTGTCTGAACAAAAATATTTAATTTAAAGAGCATTCCTGCAGTGCGGGGGCGGCTTGCAAACCGAAACCTGTCATTGTGACGGGAGACGTTTAGGTAGCCATAGAAGGGCCTGAACACACTTAATTGAGGGTTAAAGTGCTGGATTCTTTCATGATATTATCTCCTGGTAAGTGTGAGCTTGAAAAAAACATATTTTTGTGACACATACTTAGTAAACTCATGTACTCAAGGCTGAGACTGCACGCTCACATGCATATGCACGCACACTGCATTATGGGTCCAGCCTGATCAAAAACTAATAGAGCAGAAATGTCCTTGAAAGTTAAAAGACGCCTGTGAAATTGCAAAACGTGGAGCTAAAAATCGCCGTGTGCTAAATTGGAGTACCCTTTCCGCATTTCACCCTGTCAACATGTAATTTGTTGATTTGTCAAATATTCACACATGAATGGTTTTAACTGTCCCCCGTGGGCCACTGTAGGCAAATTTGTGCAGATCTTTCCAGTGCACTCTGCGTGAGAAAAAAACGGATACAGGTTTCAGGCAGGAAACAACAGCCTAAAGCAGGAGGGAAGAAATAACAGAAAAATAACAATCCTTGTCTATATTGAATGTAGATTGACCGTAGCTTGCAACACAGAAAAGAACGCTCAATGCACTTTTTGCCGAAACAGAAATTAGTTGTGGAACACTCAAAAGATAACAAAAGGATCACGGTAAACCTTTGTAACAGAGCTACCGACTTCTGAAGATGCATTTTGTTAAACTCACAAAGTTCTGGTGGTAATTTGGAAAACGGAGTGCTGCTCCAAACTACACATGTTAACTCTTTGTACACAATAAATTATGTATCAAATACAAGAAAATGACTAAACCTAAGTGGTGAAGGGTTCCTCAAAGATTAAGCTGACCACATGGTTCCTACATTCATCAGATCTGTAATACCCCAAAAAAAGCAAGGTGGGTATTTCATAAAAACAAAATGGTTATATATGTTTATATAAATTATCTTTAAATCCCAACAGCAATAAATGAATGTCCTGACAACAAAGAAATCTGGTGTCTGTGGCTGTTGTGGGACTGTAATAGGCCCATCCAATCATTCCAGTCGGGCTGCCTGCCTGAGTGCATTCTGCCCGTGCACTCATTGCTTGTCAGCGAAGTCTTGCACATGCTGCTAGCTTGACAGCTGTGAGTACCAACAGCAGCCATGTTTGTTGTTTTCGTTCATTATGTTGGAGGGAGGCCTGAAGAGACGGGCTGCAAGCGTTGCTAACTCGGCTACTTTCTCACTAGGTTTAGTGACTTTCGGAGTTTGTGCGGTTTGCCACTTTCATTGGGGAAAAAAAGATGGCAACACTGGGCTGGGTTTTTCCGTTGGATAATACTCACTTTTAAAGTTAATCATTTGAAATGTATGTGTCTACTACCAAATATCAAAACGTCATTTACAGTTTCGACACTTTTAAAGCAATTTGAAAGAATGGGCTCAGAAGGAGGACAGACATTTAATCAGATAAAATCATATTTTCTTTTTTGTTTATTTGCAGGACTTATCTTGCGTTAGTTCCCAAGAACCTCTGACTATTACTTGTGTAAAATACTATTTTATTCTATTGATTTATTTCCCTTTTTGTCCGGCTGTATCAGCTGCTGCCCTTAGTTTCTTGGATAACGTTGGCCATATTTTGCTCATATGATGTCGTTCCAAACTGAACAGACTGTTGATCAAAAACACACAGAGGACTATTTTAGCTGATATTTGGAGCCCAAGTGGATTTGTGACAATAGATTTTTTTGTCACCTGCAAAGGGGGATTATGCTCTCAAATCTCAGGTATTAGTGGGGGATTATGCATTGTACTTAATTCATGGTCGATCCAAACAGATAATGCACCAGTGTGGAAGCAAATGTACCTCAAAAAAAAAAAAAAGGTATCAGGCTGATGCGTTAATCATCTTAGAAAATCTCTGTGCTGTCTAAAGTGGGTGGTTTTCCCTAATGGCCAAGGAATACGTGACTGCAGAAAATATGTAACAGCAGTTAATTGTTCGGCTACATACTGTAGATACTGAGACATTCATCAAACGGGGCCTTTTTTATGATATGAGGACTGAAGCTTTGTGCTGGGACCCAGTAACATCTCCATAAACATGTAATCTTGTCATGTGGGGCCCCTCATGACGTCTTAGAGATTTTGCATAAGGACTTAACCAAACTACACGAGTCAGATTTGCATGAAAATCTTTATTACAGTCATAATGACTCAAAAAGCTCATGTTTCAGTGTAAATACAGCAGATGTCTTTGTAGCTCACCACTACTAATGTAATGTTTATCAGGAAAAGTAACTTACATATAATACAACAAATGAATGAATTAGATTTTTCCCCAAGTTTTGCTTTCAAAACACCATAAAAACATACCATCCAAAATACAAGATACAAAATAAATCCTAAAATAAAGAGAAACTTCAATAACTTTCACGATCAGATTTTCAGACCTTAATGTCTGCACTTACATGCAGTTACTTTATCAACTACGGGATGATAAAATAGTTCTGTTATTTTTGCTAATTAATCTTCTAATTTCTAACCCTGCTGAACATAATGTGTCAAATGTAGTTCCTGTGCAGACTTTATTTGATCACATAACCTGAAGAAACCGGATTAAAACATTGCAGTCTTTGGCTTTACATATTAATTTGGATTTTCTGTCCTGTACTATAGCAGATATTGTCTTGCTTTAATTGATAAATCATTTGGTAAATGTGAAGAAAATAGTGAGAACTGCTGATAGCAATTTTCCCAGAACACAAGGTGACATATTCAGATAGCTTCTTTTGTCCGACTAACCATATTCAATTACAATCATTTGAGGAACTGGAGCTAATGTGATTCATTCATCATCACAATAATTGGTGATTCATTTTGGCTACAATGCATATAAAGATTTTTACTTGCACTTGCAAGGATACTTGAGGCCATTTGTGCTAGATAAAATGCACTAGCTGTACAGTAAGTGAATAAGAGGTTTCCTGAGGGAAAATCGTCTTGATGACTCACGTCTGTTAATGCATGTACAAGGTACTGACAGTACAAAGGGTTTTACATTTATATCTCCCTTCCGGACAGCTCAACTCTGTCTCTCTCTAGCCGCTTCCTGGAGCTTCCTCGCTGTACTTGTCATAAAAAGAAGAATTCATTCAGAGAGTATTCGAAGAGGATGGACTGTCGACGTGCATCCGAAATGTGTCTGCCAAAGAGTGTCAGGTTGCACAGTATAAGCTTCACTTCTTGCTCGCTGACCTCCCTGCAGCTTGACTAGGATTTCACAAAGCCAAGCTGTTGCACAAGGGGCTCTACAGAAAGAGAAGTAAAAATTGCTGATACATTATTTACTTTATAGCTCTCACGTGTGTTAACCTCGGCTATCTTACGCTGCTGTGCTGCTTTGGCAAGGATGCATTCATCTCAATCGAAGAGTTGAACCTGGTCCATGCATAGACTGCATTCACTGCAGCGGCATCCGGATCTCTTGGGGTCAATACAAACATCAGTTCAGACTGACTGTAGAGATAAATACAGTACAACATGCACTGCAGATGCTAAACACTGCTCTGAAACTGAAGGGGCACCTTAGAAGGTGACGACGTGTTTGGCTGTGTTATGATTCTGGCCATTCTGACTACAGGGAAAGTTTTTATTATTGGACTCTGTTATAGAGATTTATCACTTATCATTTCATATTCAGCATGAAGGGTGTTAAACTTCAGCCAGACAGAGTCTCACAAGAAGTGTTTGGTGCTTCAGGCAACTGATCTGTTCTTGGGGTCAATAAACACATCAGTTCATGTTGGATTTATAGTGAAAAACAGCTTTGATGTGGACCCGAACACATTTGGCTTGGTCTGACTCATATTGTCTTTTGTTTATGGTAGAAGTGCCTGTAGCAGTTCAGCTTCCGGTTGATGTTTCTATACAGTGTAATGAACACAGCATGTATTATATATTTTGGCAGTACTTCTCCCTCTCCTATTTAGTGCCCCATCAATGTCTCCTTCTTAACTCTGGTATTAGTCTACATTTAACCTTACAAAGTGGCAGTTTGAAAGTACAAGTTGTACGTAACAGAAACATTAATTGAACATGGTATTGATATCGCACATGCTGAAATTGTGGTTCAGAAGGCACGTTCCAATCTGTTCAACTCTTTTTTTTTTTTTTTTTTTTTTTTTTTTTAACACGGAGCCTTTCAAGCAGAGGACAAATGATGATGAAGCTACATCATCTGCCCTCCTCATCTATATGTAAACAATGACATAATGGTCTCTCTTGTGGTGTGTTCTTGCAGTTGGGTGAGGAAACCTTCAACCGTGCCAAGCTGTTGAATGTTGGCTACACGGAGACTTTGAAGGACGCAGAGTACGACTGCTTCATCTTTAGCGACGTGGACCTGATCCCAATGGACGACCGCAACCTCTACCACTGCTACGACCAGCCGAGGCACTTCGCCATCGCCATGGACAAGTTTGGCTTCAGGTGAGGCGATGGTTTTCAACTTGCCGTGTGATTTTAGAGGTGGTGAGGGAGCATGGTACCCAACTTCTTAGCACAGCTTTCTACTTACATTTACCTTAAGAGGTCTTGATAATTAGGAACACTTCAGTTCAGCCTATTTAAATGTAAAGCATTTGCCAAAGTCTAATTTCAAAGTTTATTCGAGCTCATCTCAGTTCATTAGTGATCCCACTTAAAGGGACAGTTCACCCCAAAATCAAAAATACATATTTTTCCATCAAACATGTAGTGCTGTTTATCAATCTAGGTTGTTTTGGTGTGAGCTGCCTCGTGTTGGAGATATCAGCAGATGTCTGCTTTGACCAGGGAGTCATGTGAACCGTGGATTAATTACACAGTTCAACCATCATAATGTGAAAAAGAAATGCAATGGCCTGTATTCAGTAAAAAATGTTGCGTTCTGAAGATCGGCATTCATGCTTTCCAGTCGCTGGTCTGTGAACAACAGTGTTGAAATCGTCAGGAGAAGAGCTAGTTAATGTCAGCAATGTTAACAGCAACAGCTGCTGAGAACAGCCATACGGCTTCATTTAGTTACACTGTGGTGCTTTCAAGCTCCATTCAGTAAAAATTTGTATTTGGACGAAAGTAAATTATAACTTTATCACGATATGTTCATATGTAAAACTGAAGTTTTGGTGGGAAACTTGAATAAATTCAGTTTTTTGAAGGAGACGTTTCTGAGCAGCTTATAATACATAATAAAACTACTGATGCAAAGATTTTTTATGAACAAAAATTCAATAGTTTATTCCCTAATTATTTTCATTGTGTGTTTCTATGCAAATCATCACTATAGATGACTTAAACAAAGTAAAAGTAAATAGTTTATTTATATATTTTACTTTGACTAAAGACCTATTAGAAATGGACTGAAGTGAGATGAGTGAAAACGTTATCTTATTTGATAAAACAGATGTTGACAAACTGCATCATTTGCAGTTAAAAATAGGTAATATATTGCAAAATGTTTAAAATCGTAAAAATATCGTATTGTGACTTTGTTTTCGTGATAATATCGCATGGAGGGGCCTCTGGTGATTCCCACCCCGAGAGAGAAGACAGACATCTCTACGGCCGATACCTCTAAAACTAGTCAACTCAGACTAAAACAATCTAGATTCATAAATAGCACTAGAGGTAAGAGGAAAAATATGTATTATTGATTTTGGGGTGGGCTGTCCCTTCAATGGTAAGATAAATAAAGTCACACTTGCACATGCACACACTCACACACCCACACACACATACATTGAGAACTGCTTATAGACCTAAACAGGGAATTGCACCCAGAAGGTTGTTTTTGCAGGTGGGTTCTGCACCTGCCTGTCTGATAAAATAGCATTTTACACTTGTTAAACAAATAAATATGTGAAGAATTTCTATATGCAATTGGCTGCCTAACAAAGCAATAGAGATGGCCTACAGTCTGTGTTCTGACAGACAATAGACTAAGCACTATTTAATTTGACTAAATCTCATTATACTTTAAAATCCTTGTCTGAAGCCTAAATTAGCATGAAAATGCACCACAGTTCACTGCTGCCAATTCTTATTCGGTCATACTTCTGTAGTCCTAACAAGAGCACATGATACAAAGCGAAACTAACAAGTGTAGACTACAGCTGGTGCAGAGACACTTACTAACTATGACGACTGTGTCTACTTGCTGTATAAGATGAGCTCTCTTGTATTATTTATGTAAATATATCAAAAATTATAATTTAGGTAATTCTTCAAGCTAAAATGTCAAGTTAGATTTGTTGTTTGACTGTGATAGCAAACTGAATATCTTGCTTCGATGTGCTGGCCATCATCTTAAACTGCTGTGAGCATTTTCACCCTTTTATGACCCTGTATATGCCAAACATGAATAATCAGCAGATTAATAGAAAATTAAACACAATCATTAGTTGCACACACAAAGTGAAAATAGTAAATATACGCATACTGTAGTCACTGATGAAAAATCTCAGCAGCAGATGAAACTTTTTGCATGTTAATATGTAGAAAGTCAAAAGTTCACTTTTGACTTTGCATGCAGTCATCCGTGTTTCGGTGCTTTTATTTTGAAAGTCCTTTATCACAAACAAGTCTCTAAGGACTGCACAGAGACAGAAGGTAAAATCCTTTCTAGATCTAACTAATCAACAAACGGCCACTAAACAGAATGAGAGTGCTTATTTCAAGATCACGGGGCTCTCTAAAACTTTATTATGTAGGATAAACCATCATCATGACCCTAAGACCTGTGTGAGGGAGTAAAAGCCAACGAAGAAACCGGAAAAGAAACAAGTAAGCACCAGTTGGAGATGTGCACCCCACCCCACGGACGGTCAAATGTGCAATGGATGGCAGTTTACAGTAAAGGAATAACCATAAAAAAAGGGATCTACAGTATATAGTGTTAAGTTTGCAGGAAATGATATGGTGAGTGAAAGTGCCATTTCTCGAGTGTGTTAACAAAATGCAGTGTTGCCAAACAGTTTCCCTGCATCCTTAAAGCCATCACTGAATAGTAGCCTCCTGCTTTAGTTGTGTATTTTTGCATAATGACACAACACCTACACTCAATTATCTAAAAGCACCACAAGCATTGATTAATGCTCTTAACATGGCCAGCGAATGTGACCTCTCCAATCCACAAACTGTCATTCCACAAGAGTTATCCTACTGAAAACCCTCAGGAGCCTCAGCAGTTCCCTGATATACTGCTCAATAACCTAATGCTATCTGGCAAACAATACAACACCAGGTGGTAATTAACATTTCCTATTAGCAATGAGTCAATAAATACTTTGGTTTGGTTTGTTATGAGGTTTCTTGTTTTGGTCACAAGAAAATGATGAAAAAAGTGGATAAAAGTAAAGCCGGGTGTTTTGAGTGAGCGGAAGGTCACAGGATTGATTGAAGTTCTTTGTTGATGCAGAAATCAGATAATTGTAGAAAATTGGTTGCCGAAGTCAAAAATGGTCTGAGCATTCCAACTGTTTTTGTCTGCCAGTTTTAGCATCGAGGACGCTTCCAAATTAAAGGACGAAAAGTCAGCAAGCAATTAACAAACGACGATCAAACGACATTTTTTGAGAGCTGATTTGGGCCGAGGAGTAAATGTTTTATTTCAGCATTTCAGGGAGAGACAACCTTAGCTGCTCCCAAATGTAAAAGCACATATTTTTTGATAAATGGTGAAAACATTGTCACTGAAAGTCAGGTCACTTTAAGTGCTTTTCCATTATCGTAGCACCTCACAACACCTGACAGCTCTCTGAGCAGGAAGGGTCACCTTGAAGTCCACTTCACAAAAACTTTCTTTCAAAAACGTGTCACGAATTACACTCTCTCAAAGGACCTTATGCAGTGCATGAAATGATATTACCATTATATTGCAGGATTTTGTGGATGTTTGAGTACAGTACTTGGTGAGCACAGTGCGAGTGTGCTGCAGCGCATATGCACATTTACAGAGAGCACCATTATGCTAGGCCTTCTCCTGGCAGTGTCGGCACACTGTTCAGTGACTAACATGGATCGACGTGCACTGTCAATTTTAACAAAAATGAATGACAAGCATGAAATGTGAAATCATCAAACAATGCACCAGTTAAAGAGGAGATATGCAATTATTTATAGTGCTGGCAACATCAACAGACAACCCCAAAATTGTCAACAGATTCTGATTCAGAGGCTAATTTCTGATTCTGAAAGTATTTGACATCCCGCTTTTTAAACCAGTGAGAAGAGCACAAAAAATCCACAAATACATACATTAAATGTGTTGTGTGGAATAACCAAAACCTTTCGAAACTAAACAAAAAACTGTGTATTCAGGACCTCAGCACTCATAGAATGAAGCTGGTTGAGAAAATAAAAAAGGACATTCACATACAATTCAGAACAGTCATTATTAAATGAATATAAAACAAGCTCAAATACAATGAAATAGATATAAAATACAAGAATAAAAGTTACAGTATAGTGTAAGAAATGTATAATTATTTGATTTAATAAAAGACAAACGGAAACATTTTCAGTTGCAGCTGACCTGCAGTTTTCTGGGAGATTGTTCCAGATATGTGGTACAAAAAAACGTACCGCTGCTTGTCCATGTTTAGTTTTGACTCTGGGGACAGAAAGTATGTCCCAGAAGAACTCAAAGGTCTGGATGGTTCATAATGTCGCAGATGATCTAGTATGTCCATAAACCATTCAGGGTTTCGTAAACCAGCAGAAGTATTTTGAAATCAATTCGTTGACAGACAGGAAGCCGGTATAAAGACCTCAGAACTGGAGTGATGTGATCCACTTTCTTGGTCTTGGTGAGGACTCGAGCAGCAGCGCTCTGAATCAGCTGCAGCTGTCCAAACTAGTTGTCAAACACAGGCGGTTGGTCAGTGAACCTCAGCATCTGATATCGACACACTGCACTTAAAACTAACTCTAATTCCCTGACCAAGCGCTGGTATTTGACTGGTTGGGAGTGAGAATTTGTTTTTACAGTCGTAGAGTCTACTGAAGATAAATTTGTTTTTTTCTCCAAATCCTCCTTGAGAAGAAACTATTAAAACTGGAAATGAAAAATGCAAAAGGAAAGTTATTATTGTACAGAATAAAACAAGGACAAGAATTGACATCATAACATTATTGTCAAATTTCCGTCATGCACAGTACACTGTATCTCAGTGGTGTTTGAGAGTTAGCATTTGATGATGAATATCCCACTTCTCTGAGGAAATAATCAGACAGATACAGAGTTTATGGAGTCCCCACTGTTGAAGATTTCATATAAGAGCGTTGTTTATCCTCTTTCCAGCGAGACGTCATAAAAAAATGAGTGAAGTTCTCAAGAAAAACATGCAGTTAATCAAACTTCCAATCACTCTTTCTCCCCTCTTCTTCTCCTAAGCACACACACGCATCCACACACACTTACACGCACACACACACGCACACACACACATGCACACATGCTGCTCACCATATTGTTGATGGGAGAATTTGTGCAGAAACATATGGTCTCATTACTTTCCTCTTGTCATCTTTCAACAGGGAGCTGTCATCTTTTTGACAACACATACTGTCCAGAATATACACACATCTACACACACACACACACACACACACACACACCGCCTCTGGTTAGACTCCAGGCACCTGTCATGACATTCGCAGCTGACGTCCGGCCCACTCCACTGGTCTCAAGACTTTTAAGGAAAAAATAAAATGCCTCTCCACCTTCTTTTGTCCACTGTGTACACACACACACACATACAATATACGTATTATATATACCCTCCTCCATCATTTCATTGTCTTGTTCTTTCGGACCCCCTGTCATATATTCTTAATATTTATCTTGTAGTTATTCTCTTCATCTCCTGATCTTTTCCTCATTCTTTCTCTTCTTTACTCTAATTTCATGTGTTATCCAACATTTTCATTATAAATGGCCAATGCTGACTAGTGGAAACCTCTAGTATTCACTAGTAGCAGCTCGTTTGGCTGCTTATTAGCGCCAGAGGCCACGCACAAATACCACGGCCCCTGTTTACACCCGGTCATTTCATGTGTCTTGAGGGGATTATATATGGATGTGGATTATCTACTTACTGTAGAAAGGCACTCATAAATGATCCACTTAAAAACACATCCAGAACAAGACACATTAAATGATCTGCTTGCCTAAAACACTTCAAAATGTTATTCAAATGTAAATTATGCCATCTTTATATATTAAAAAAAACCTGTGATGCTGCTGATGATTCACTAACAATTTCAGATTAACAAGCACTGAGAACATTCACGGGGACATCTCCCACTAACTTTAGGAAATTGAAAAGAAGGATCATTTTTATTATAATGAAGCATAATCTGAGTGGGTAGCCATGTTAATTAGATGTCATGGAGCTTTTGCCTTACTGTATTAAAACATATAAAGGGACTTTTGTTTTTACAACAACATGGATAGGGAACCCAAACTTCCTTCCTAGTTAACTGTGTGTTAACTGTATGTTGCTCCATCTTTCATTATGAATGATAATACCTGCCTGTGCATGCTGTAAACAAATGGTTAAATGATGGTAGCCCACGTTTCAGAACGCAGCTGCATAGCAGAGAGTTGATGCTGCCAAATCTTCCTGCTGCCAGAAGGATCTTGTTTGTTCAGGCAATTCTAATTTATTTTGTAGTAATATATTCATTCACTGGTTCGCTTATAACTTCTCGCCCCCTCTGGCCTTTTTCCTTCCCTCATCCATCCCATCTCCTCCTTTTCTTTGCTCCTGCAGGCTGCCATACGCAGGCTACTTTGGAGGAGTTTCAGGTCTCAGTAAAAAACAGTTTCTGAAGATCAACGGCTTCCCCAACGAGTACTGGGGCTGGGGAGGGGAGGACGACGACATCTACAACAGGTAAACGTGGAAACACGTACTGTAGCATGAGCTGCTGGTTTTGCCCATGATTTCTACACCAATAACTTCTTTTTAATTTGCTTTTTTTACCCTTAAAGACCCACATAGACCTGCTTTTGTCTTTTTTAGAAGAGACAGGATCTTTAGGGAAAGATAGCAGGTCAACATTAAATGCTGCATAGAAGTGGTATACATCATCTGAGAGCTGGGAACCTGAAGATTAATTGGTTTGTCAAGTTGTTCTAGTCATTAATTATAAAATAAATTGTAAAAGGGCTAAGAGCATTACGATGGAAGTATATATGGCAATTCCAATGGTCACTAATGCAGTATTTTTTTAGGTTAATAACATTTATTAGAAACATATGATGCTGGTATAGAGAATATTACCACTTAAGAGCTGGTAAAGATATCAAAAATGGCACTAAAATACTACAGTAAGACACGCTGTGTATTTTAAAAGTTTCGATATTTGGAGATTTCTGCAAGAATTGCAATTTTCAGCGATTGGATGGATTGGAGTGCTTCTTTTGTTGAAACTGCTCAGAAACCCCAAGACCGTTGATCCAAGGCTAGCGATTCCAATATGCAGAAATATTACAATACACAATTTTTAGAAGAGGCGGAAATAACACATTTATACTGTGTGCAAAAAACTGCTTGATTTTTGCCCAAAGCTGCATGGGATTAGCATTAAGTGAGCATGTCTGTAAGGGGGAGACTCGTGGGTACCATAGAATCCATTTTCATTTACATGTAAAGGAACCCATTCGAACCCATGCCAGTTTTCCTTTGCCAAAAATTAAGCCCAACTTTTGAGCTTAATTCAGCCCCGTTCCCGACAAGCTAGCATGACAATTCATTCATTACGTCATCTAGATTCATACAATGCCAGCATGTTTAATCTAGCTATAAGGCTGAGCCCGCTACAGTTTCGCTATAATGCCAGAAACGTTTTACTGTACTTGTTAAGATTTTGCAGTGAGAAACAGAAAAATCAGTATTATACAATCTGTCAGGGTTATGTTTGGTCTGTTTGAAGTAAAATCCTTGTCAGACCTGTTAGTAAAATGTGGTGAAATCAAGTCTCTCCACTTAAAGTGACACTGAAGGTTTCCGTAGAGTGGATGATTTATTGTAATTGTTCAGTGAAGGAGAATGATTTGCAAATAAATAAACCTTTTCAGGCACTTCAGACAGCTTTTAATGACTTGCTCAAGTTCACTCATAATACTGCTGTGGAAGTGTGCTGAAATCAAATTTGGAGGAAGAATATCTGTCTGACAGGAAGACGGAAAGATGTCTTAGAACTGCTTAAATTTACCATTTACAGGACTATTAGTTTAATTTACAGTCTACTCAGACGGCTGTTTGGACTGAAAATTGTTGAATTACCTGGTGAACTGATGATCTGACTATTAAGCAAATTATTCCTACAACAGTGTCATTCATCTGTGCTTGGCGCTACAGGGATGAAAGAATCATGTTGGCTGAATACAATAAATACAAATTTTTGCATAGAAATGATGAAACTACCTTTGCACTGCCCCTTAATCCCAGCTGACATTTTCCATATATTCCCCAAAAGCGGCTGTCACAACAACAAACTGGAAAGGTCCGCTTCATATTACTGCACAAGTGAAATATCCACAAGCAAAATTGGGTTCAAAAGAAAATTCATTTTAAACACATAAACAGATGCATTTGCCTTCAAAGAATCAGGCTCGAGCACGCTAATTATAAACACACACACACACACACTGCTACAAACTCACACAGCAGGGAAGTTCTTCACAGACGAAATGCAATCTCCATCTTTATTGTCCCTATTCTTCACTATCTGTTTTTTATTTTTCTCTGTCTGTGTCCCGCTGTCACTCTCACACTGTGAAGCTTATCTTTGTCCTTTCAGAGTAATAGCATTATAAGAAAACTGAAAATAGAGCATTTGAAAATTTGGTGTTTTAGAGAATGGACTGTGTCAGTAGACACAGTATTCAGGAGATTACAGTTGTTTGTCAGCGTCTGGCAAGAAGTGATAAAAGAGATATATGTGCAATTCACTGAATGGTTGTCCAGATGATAGATAAAGTTCTCACTTTTCTATTGGATGATAGCTGCAGTAAGTCATTAAATGCTGTCGATTTCCCTCAAGATCCTTTCTACTCTCCGAACTTGAGCAATTTCAACTGATGTGAAAAGTGGTGTGACTTGCGGGAATATAATTTTTTTTTTTTTGAAGAAGGTAATTCATTCAGACATTGACTTCTGCAATTCAAACTTGCCTGACTGCAGAGGTTCCATACAATCAAAACGCTATGTTGAGATAGGAAGGGTAAACCTTTTCACTGAACATGTAAACCATGCTAAATGTTCATATGTCTTTGTATAAGGTGCTGACTGTTAATAAAATGACATTATTGAATCAGAGAGCAAACGTTTCTCTGAAGCTTTTCCTTCCTGGTATTTTGTACTCAAAGTGAGACTACATAGTGTTGAACAGCAGACACTCTGGCTAAACGATGCAATTACAAGATAATGGCGAATTGGATTTTCATTCATTTTCCAAGATTGTCTGGGGTCAGTTGCTTTAACGATACCAGTGGGGCATTCTGGTGGTTTAGAGGTTTTAAGGTGCCACCCATATAATCTCCACAGTACTGTGTCCCCAGATTGAGTCCATCCAGCTCTCTCTCTCTCCTCTATTTTCTGTCAGCTCCTCACTGAACACCAGAGGTTTTCAAATTGTGATAGATTCAGTGTGACTCACACTTTTCAAGGATATCATCATCTCTGATATCTATCAGGAATAAAACATCTTTAATTCTGCCTAGAAATCATAGGAAAAAGATGCTCTACGTGACTCCAGAACTTGCACGGAAAATATTGTACCAACAGTCTCCAACTGTACCAGCTGATGTAAGTTTTTTGCTGGCAGTACCATTTTTATAAATAACATGGTGATCGGTTGAATACATCATTTTTATATGCTTCTGATAGAACTTAAACTTAAAACCTGAATTATCTTTATGTCCATGTACAACTTTAATAAATTGAACTATAGTAGCGCTGTCTTGTCTCAGAGATATGTTGACTACTGTCTGTCACATCTCAGTGCAAGAATAAAGTACAACAGAGAGTTGACCATAAATCTCGTTCTTTTTTTTAAGCATTTATATATAATGTTTTGCATTGGTACGTCATTGGTACGTTGAGTTTAAAGAGGGTTGCACATTAAATAGAAGTAACAGAAACAGGATGGACTGGATACTAACAGTAGTGAGGTCATTGTCAGTTATTTTCTTCTCTCCCTATTTTCTCTCTCGTTGTTTACTACAAACCGAGACTGTAAAAATCCCAAAGTCAATCTTATAATAAATGAATGGAAAACACATTGGCAGGAGCATGCAAATAAAGCTGAGCATCAAGGTTTTGCCTTGCTTTTCGCAAAGGCTCTCACGGGGGGGGGGGGTTTTGTCATTGCGAAGCCGGTCAGTCAGTCGATGCTCCACTTTGGTTCAGACTGAAATATCTCTACAACTATTTGATAGATTGACATGAAATCTGGTACAGATGTTCATGGTGCCCAGAAGGTGAATCCTACTGAAGTTTGGTGATCCCCTGACTTTTCTTCTAGTGCCACTATGCAGGAGTTTTGAGTAAAATGTCTGAACAACCATTGCATCCTGGTCTCACTCCCAGGGCGTCATATACCGACGAAAAAAGGCACCCCAATGTAAACGCATCAGCACCATTATTAGACACTGATTTTTACAAGGGCTGTCCTAGGCCAAAGAACTTCTTAGTTGACTAACACTCTTACGATTTTGTCACCAATCGATTAATTGATTTAATTGACACAAAATCACCACTTTATGAAAATCACGTTGACTACATTTGGTACAGATATTCACGTCCCCCTCTGGATGAATCGTAATTATTTCGGTATCGTATGACTTTTGATCTAGTGCTATCATCAGGTCAAAATTCGATTTTGTCCAATATGACGTGTGATCTGATGCTGAAATCAGTCTCAGTTCTAACAGTCGAAGCTGCAGTAGCGTGCAGAGGAGAGGATGGAGTCTCCAGCTGAGTGAACTGACATGCTCGCCAGCACAGTCTCTCAGGACTCGGGAGTAAAACGAAATAGAGGAGAAGAGGGTACCAGGATAGAGATTAAAGAACAGTGTTGTATATCAGAGAGCGTGTCGGCCGTGAAATCTGTACCTTGTTTTTTTGTCTTTCGTTAAAAGGTAGCAAAGTTCACGTGTTTGAACAGTGCGAGCCGGCAATGTGTCCATCAGCCTGGTGTCCAGATGAAGTGTCTTTGTACGTGGCACTGAACCTCCATCTGCTTATTCTTTGAAAGCTGCTCTGGAAAAAAGGAGCAGCAACTAAATGACTGAATTGCTCTTTTACTCTCTACTTCAGCAATGCTCCCTCTCTCTTTTTCCCCATTCTTCTGCCCCTCTAACTCTCCACGTCTCTTTTTCTATCTCCATCTCTTGCTTCCCTCCAGCAATTTCCTTTTTATATGCTGATTTTGATGCAATAGACCATGGCATGACCACTGCCTGCAATGGGTACTGCAAGCTTAATGTCTGCCCGGGGGACTATCTGTCCCTGCTGCTCAGTGTGGCCCGAGCCCTTGGCGGAGAGGACACATGCCACTTACACAACTGCCAGTGCCATTTGCCCCCCTCCCACCCCTGTCTAAAAGGTTGGTGGCTATAACAGAGAGAGAAGGAGCTAGGCAAAGGGTTTTCCTCTCTCACCATCCTCTCACCCTCTCTGAACATGCAGCAGTAGCCTTGGGCAAAGATGTCCCAAGGGCTTCCATGGCGGACCAGCCTTCAACACAAACACACAACTCTCTCTCTATCTCTCTTTCAGTGCTCCCTCTCGTTCCTCTTTCGTCTTTGCCCTTTCCCCTTTCCCCCTTCCTCTCTCTCAACCTCCCAGCGGTGGCTTTCAACAGAGCCTGAGCCAGCATCATGCAC